AGTGATTTCTCCTTTTTCATTTCTTATTGCATGAATTTGAGCTTTTTCTTTCCTTTTTTTAATAAGGTTGGCTAGGGGCTTATCGATTTTATTTATTCTTTCAAAGAACCAACTCTTTGATTCGTTGATTCTTTGGATTGTTTTCTTAGTCTCTATTGCATTGATTTCTGCTCTGATTCTTATAATTTCCTCTCTTCTTTTGGCTTTGGGCTTGACTTGCTCTTCTTTTTCTAGCTGTTTGAGGTGTAGCATCAAGTTATTTACTTGTATTCGTTCTGTTTTCCTGATGTGGGAACTCAGTGCAATAAATTTTCCTCTCAGAACGGCTTTCATTGCATCCCACAGATTCCGGTAAGTTGTATCTGCATTTTCATTTTCTTTTAGGTATTGTTTAATTTCTGCTTTAATTTCTTCTGTGACCCACTGATTACTCAAGAGTGTGTTATTTAGTTTCCATGTGTTTGCGGAATTTTTGCAGTATCCTTTGTCATTAATTTCTAATTTCAGAGCGCTATGATCCGATAATATGCAAGGGATGATTTCAACTCTTTTGCATTTGCTTAAATATGTTCTGTGAGCTAATATATGGTCTATTTTAGAAAATGATCCATGTACTGCTGAGAAGAATGTGTATTCTGATGTTGTTGGGTGGAACATTCTGTATATGTCTATCAAACCCATTTGTTCACAGGTGTGATTCAGTTCTGTTATTTCTTTGCTCATTTTCTGTCTGGTTGATCTGTCCCTTGGTGTCATTGGTGTATTAAGGTCTCCTGTTACAATTGTGTTACTGATAATTTGAGTTTTCATTTCTGTTAATAATTGTTTTATATAACTGGGTGCTCTGGAGTTTGGTGCGTATATATTTAAGATAGTTATCTCTTCCTCTTGGAGTTTTCCCCTTACGAGTATGTAGTGACCTTATTTGTCTTTTATGGTCATTGTTGGTTTAAAGTTCACATTGTCTGCAAACAGAATGGCTACTCCTGCCTTTTTTTGGATTCCTGCTGCATGAAGAATTGTTTTCCATCCTTTGACTTTCAGTCTGTGAGTATCTTTCTGGGTTAGATGGGTTTCCTGTAAACAGCATATGGTTGGATTTTGTTTCTTGATCCATTCTGCTAGTCTGTTTCTTTTGATTGGTGCATTGAGACCATTTACATTAATGGTTATTACTGTTAAATGCTGGTTAATTGTAGGAATGTTATCTCTCTGCTGTTGCATCTTTATCTTTCGGTTCTGTTTAATTATTTGCTTTGCTTAGTGGTTTTTTCCTTTGTGTATCTAAACTGTCTTTCAATATTTTTTGCAGGGTTGGTTTGGTGTTCATGAAGTTCTTCAGCTGTTCTTTGTCATGGAAGTATCATATTGCACCATCTATTTTGAATGATAGTTTTGCAGGATATATCAGTCTTGGTTGGAGATCATTTTGCTTTAGGATCTGGAATAATTCACTCCATGCTCTTCTTGACTTTATCTTTTGTGCTGAGAAGTCTGCTGTGATTCTGATAGGTTTTCCTTTATAAGTGATCTGTCTTTTCTCTCTGACAGCTTTTAATAATCTATTCTTGTGTTGGATTTCTGGGATGGTGACTATTATATGTCTGGGTGTAGTTTTATTTTGGTTATGAGTGTTTGGAGTTCTATATGCTTCACTGATCCTGATGTCAGTTTCTGATCTCATGCTTGGGAAATTTTCAGCTATTACTTCTCTAAATATCCTCCTGACATCCTTCGTGTTGTCTCCCTCTCTTTCATTAATCCCTATCATTCTTATGTTATTCTTCTTTGCATCGTCTTGCAGTTGTTGAATTGTTGTTTCCTGGTTCCTTGTTATTTTCAAAAGATCTTTCCTTTCCTGTTCACTAGCTGCAATCCTGTCTTCAAGGTCTGAAATTCTATCTTCACTTTCATTAAGGTGGTTTTTACAACTTTCAGTGGAGTTTTTTATTTCCTGTATATCTCTGTGCATCTGCATTATGTATTCTGTTTGTTTCTTATATTGCTCGTCTAGGGATTCTATCTTTTTGTTTAGTTCCTCCAATTTTTTATCTGTGTTTTCTTTAGATATATTTAGAATCTCTTTCATTTCTTTTATCATTTCTTCTTTTATCTGGGAGATTATTTCGAGTTTGAATTTCTTTAAAGCTTCCTGGAGTTGCTTGTCAATTTCAGTGGCTATTGTGTCCGATATATGAGGTGGATGGGATATATTTTCTTCTATATACATCGCTCCTAGGGTTTCTTGAGATGGGCTGGAGGTTTGAGGTTGTAATTTGGTCTTTCGTTTTGTCATTTTCCTATATTTCTGTGTTTCAAGTGTTACTTGAAAGCTTCCTCAGGATCTGTTGAAAATCCCCTTCTATGTTTGGAGCTACTGGGACTCTGGCGCCGCGCTACTCCAAGCCATTAGGCCTAAAGAACCAGTGGCCCTCCTCTGCCTGCTCAGAACTCCGCAGTTCCAGACAAGCTGGGCCTCAGGGACACTGTGCGCCCACCTGCCCCTTGGAAGCTCCACAGTTCTTCAATCGCAGCCGGGTTAGGGTACTCACCACAGGCCGCAGTGCTTCAGGAACCTGTGGACCCTCCCTGGTTGCAGAGATATCCACAGTCCTCCAGACACGCAGAGAGGCCAGTGAGGGCACCCCAGATCTGCCCAGCTCCTCCTCTGCAGACCTGTGGCCAGGCGCGGTAGCTAAACAGACTGGGCTAGGCTGGTAGTGTGGGCCAGCCCACCTATTGGGAGCTCAGCAGGTCTCCAAATGAAGCCGGGAATGGGGAGGCTGATGTGGAAGCCTTAAACCCACCTCTCTCCTTCACTGCACCTGGAAGCCTGAGGGAACTCCAGCAGTCTGGGCACAGAAATCCAGAGTCCTCCAGACACGCAGAGAGGCCAGTGAGGGCACCCCAGATCTGCCCAGCTCCTCCTCTGCAGACCTGTGGCCAGGTGCGGTAGCTAAACAGACTTAGGAAACATTGCTTGCCAAGGAGAGCGTGTATTTCCTGTGTGAGATTTTTCATCAGTAGCTCTTTTTTTCCCCACATGTCAGAAGTGGATTTTTTTGCTTTGTGTTTTGTTTACAGATAACTGTATATTTTTTCTTACTACATATTTATAGTGTATACTGTTTATGTTGGTGTTAGGATCAGGGCACATGTGGTGCACAGAGTGCATATTGGGCCCTATCTTTTGCACAATGGTACAATCCAACCAACAGTGACTGCTCTCAAAGTTTTGTGCATTGAGCACACAGCTCAGGGCCAAGACATTGCCAGCATAAGGCGCTGGTTTGTCTTGATTGTCCTTTTTTTATGACAAATACAGTGGATAATGATGCAATAATTGGGAGCTTAGTCCAACCCTAACCCTAAGTCTAACCTACCCCTAAACCTAACTCTAACCCAAGATAGTCACTACCAACATTCCTGGCCAAAGAAAACTTTATGGCATTGATGTGGGAAATGTAATATAAGTTAAGTATGAAGACACACAATCAGTGGTGGCTGGGATGGAGCAAGAGGGGAAAGAAAACACCATTGTGTAAAAATTTGAAGAATATATTCTGGAAGTGGACTTTGGGAAATTTGCTTAACATTGAGAATGCAATGAATGTCAGCAAGCTGATTATTTTAAACAACCCTAAAATCTTAAATTTTATCTATATTTGTTTTATCACTAACTAAATGTAAATAAATGTAGCTATGAAAACAATAGTAATTAAATCTGGATGAGAGGGGCAGGGCAGGTGTTGGTCAAGAGCTGCCCGCAGTTAGAGCTCGAGATATGACTCCTGAGTGGAGCCACCAGGAGGCTCAGAACTTCAGCTGTTGGACAAAGGAATCCAGGTACTGGCTCTTGCTCTGAAATCACAGCTGGTTAGGGAGCTGCAGGTAGAGCTGGCATAAAGTCTGCAGGTGCAGCTTCTGCATGGGCTGAGCCTGGCCCTGTAGTTGCAGGAAATGAAAAGATTATCAACTTTCCATGGACTTCCTAGGCAAAACCTTCCCACTGCTGTCAAAGGCAGTCATGTGCACCAACACAGCCCCAGGAAAGCCTCCTGACTGCATCCCCACACTGACTGCTGAGTGTGTCATACTCCTGGGTCACCCAGCATCTGGGAACTTTGCTGAGTTCCAAGGCCATCACCTCCCCACAACCCTACATCCTACACTCCAGAGATATTTACCCTGTGGCTCAGTCTCTGGGGCTCCAGCTGGTCCAGGAGAAGCTCGGCCTGGGGATCCACATGGGCGTATATTTCCAATGTGGCCTCTAGCACAGAAGAACTGGGGTAGACAGGGAACCAGCAGAGTGAGAGACCTGGGCTTTCCTCCAACAATGCCTGCACATCTCACTTGTAGAGAGGGGTTCTTGGACCTCCTGCCCAGTTGATACAATGTCCAGCCCCATCCTCACCCACCCACAGTTGGGCAGTGAGGGCCCAAGGAGCCCTTAGTGGCTGAAAGAAGTCTCTGTGGGAGGGAGACCTTCCTTAGTTTTATCGCACATTTACATTCTTCAGGGAATCCTGACACAGTATCTCCCTGCCCCTCCCCAGTGCAAGTCAGCTTGGAGTAGGTAGAGACTGCAATCTGCCCTGTCTTTGCACTGAAGGGCTCAGGGCTGCCACTCCATGAATATCTGAGAAGTGAGGGATCAATCAGTGTCTGTCCTGCATCTCTGCAGTCTCTAGCTCAGGCAGTGATGCATTCATTGCCCAGTTCTCTTTGCCTCTATATAACTCCTTGTGCATGGTCTGTACCCACAACTAGGGATGCATGGAGACTGGAAAAATGGCCTTGAGGTGAGCAATATATGTTCTGCTGCCAAGGGTTACTCTGTGGCCTCCCACAAACATCGAAACTCAAAAGGGCAGTGCTTCCACTGGCTCTGCTTACAGAATCATGGTTAATACCCAGAAAAGTGTTTGCACAGAGTGTGTCTTCATATACAATTGTGGGTTGGTAACACCTATCTGTTCTTCCTATTTGTCTGAAAGCCATGGACAATTTGCTATTCTCAAGATTTCCTGTGCTGAACAAACCCTGAAGTCCACAGAGTGACTTTCTGATCTCCTTTCCGATGAACAGAACTGCATCGACCAAGTGTTGGTCACTGAGCGGCATGGAAGATCATCCATCAGAATTATCACAGCCTCTACAGCAGGTCTTCGTGGGGCCACAGCTAACTGCTTTGGATGGATCCCCCATTTCATCCTCAGTGACCCTAAGCTCTCAATCCACTGAGTCCCAACCCATTTGGCACTGTAAACTAGGGCTGAGTGAGGCCCTTGCATAGGGCCAAGACCTGAATCCACAGGTGACCAATTCCCACTGGGCTGCTAAGGTAAGAACTCAGCTTCTCAGCTTTGGTAGAGAGGTCAGCCCTGGAGGAGTCCAAAGAGGAGAGGCTGTGCCTGGGGTATCTATCCAGAAGGGTGGCTCCTTAGGCTCCTTCAGGCTGCGAGGCCCATCTGCCTGCACCGTGCTTCCTGTACAGACCTCTACCAGTTTCTCTGCTGCCTGACTTCTGAGACTGTGGGTAAACATGGAATTGGTGTCCTGCACATGGCTTCTCAGTAGGTTTTGGTGCTGAAGCAAAGCCCACACTCCAATTAGTCTGCAGAGGCTAGTGGTAATGGGCTCACAGGAGGGCCCTGAAAAAAAGGGATTCTCTTATTAAAACTTACATTTCACAAGGGAAACTTAGAAATACTAGCATGCTCAGATCACCTCAACAAAGAGGTTGAACAGAAGTCTAGGTATGAACAAAACCTATGAGTCCTAAGATGGCACCTCCCCCCCCCAGTTTAGAGATGAGAAAAAAAGGCTCATTCTGGATGTTCAGGTCCATTAATGAGGCACTGCAGAATGTTCCCAAGATTATGATGAAAAGTCCCCAGGAAGGAATTAAGTTCCTCTTCTATAGCCATGGAAGGCTGAGCCACTGTGTTCACTGCTTTCTTCTTGTGCTCATTTAGCCCAGAGGCTCCTACCAAAGGACCTGTAGTGCATGGAAAAATCCCATGAGACAAGTGCCAGAGAATTGAACAGAGTGGACTGACATTTGAGGTGAGCACACATCTAGTGAGGCGATGCTGTGTAAGAGCTGGAAACAGTTGGTGAAGACACCTTGCTAATGGTCCTTGGACACCATGCCCAGTACAGAAAATGAGGTACAATGGCAGAATTCATTCATGACAAGAAATGAAATGATTTTGTGTCTGTCCCCTTTCTCCTCTTCCATGAATATGCATACAGTGACCTTGCCTGGGACAAGGTAGAGGCTTAGTAGAGAGGGTGTGGTAGTTGAGCATTTGCAATCCAGATTCCTTGGGAGCAAGACCATTGGCTTAGTGTTTGACAAGCCCTGGATGGAGATGTTGGAAGGGTTAATCAGACCCAAAGTTCCTCATAGTCATGTGTGGGCCTCCATACATTCCCTTCTGCTCACATACTCTGCACTGGAGCCAATACCTCCTGTTATTGTGGGTCCCATCTCTGGAGCAGGGATGTGACACACAGGGCCCAGGGGCCACCTCCATGCCAATGTCCTGTGTACAGCATGGTTGGGGCAGTGCCCAGCAGCCAACACGAAGCCTGAGACTCTGAGACACCACAGGTTTCACTTTGTGAACCCAGATAACCTTATGTTCCTCAAAGACTAATACCTCTGTCCCAGACTTCTACCCAGGAGGACAGGAGATGACTCTGGAGGCTTTGAATAAGCATGAGCACTGTCCTTCTCCTCCTGCCAGCCCTGTCCTGGGTAGGAACATGACAGGAGCACAGGCTCACACTTCCCAACACCTGCCCCTGCCCCAGAGCATCTGCCCTCACTGCCTGTCCTCAGAGCCCTTACACTGATTGTTTAGGATGGGAATTGTATAGGAGAACTCAGAGAGGTGGCCAGGACTTAATGTATTGTCCTCTAGTTGGGTATCTGAGTGGCTGGTGGCTGAGCCTAGGGACACCTGTCCTGGACTCCCTCTTGTTTCTGATGTCTTGGGGGTTGGGGCTCTTGGGCCCTGCCCTGTGCTGCCCTTGATATTAGGCAGTTCCCAGTGAGCTTCCTGAAACATCTTGGCCCAGTGAACCATCCTTTCACTCATTTGCATGTGGTTTTCCCATGCAGGGTCAAGAGGCTTGGGCTTCAAAGCCTCAGAAAACAGCACAGCATATTCACTGGTCACTCTCATGAGCCAAGTGCTGGTGAAGGTCAACTGCCACCAGGCAATAGTGCCTGGTAACCAGAACCTTCAAAGTTCTGTTTAGACCTGTTGCCAAGGAAGTTGTGTCATGTTCTGGGGTCCATAGCTGGGCTGCCCCCTCTGATGCCTCCTTTCTTTTTATTGTGGAACAAATTTGTGTTCCTTAGAAATGGCAAGTGAAAAACTAGAAAACAGAATGAGGTTTTACACTTTTCTTCACTTTGAAATACTTCATACAACAGACATGTAGATGCTTCAGAAGTGGCAGGCTGGGTGCCAAGTGCACATTTCCATCCAAAAAGTCTTTTTCATTGAGAATTAGGCTTCACTTAAAGATCTGTCAAATTTTAGGATGAGTTTCTTTCCTTGGCTTATGTTACTTTCATTTCAACTCCATTAGGGAGTATAAAGATGTTGCCAGAATAACCATAATAATTTTCTTTGAAGTATGTGAATATTTCATGTTATAACCTCCTCCTGTCCAGGGGATGAGGATTCCTAACAAGTTTTACTCTCATGGGCCTATGAGTGATTACTTATTCATCCTTAGATATTTAACTCAGCCACACACTGTAGCTCCATACTATGATATCCTGTGGAGGGGAGAGCAGGTGGTGATTGCAAGGGGAGGCTTTCCAAGGCAATGGACATCATCATCCCATGCTAAGGAAGGACACATGCACATCACTCCTGGGGAACTTGTCTCATAGCAACTGGTATCACTTCCATTCCTCCCATCCCAAACACACCATGTGTTTGTGTCCCTGCTGGGTAGTTTGCCTTTCCTAGAGGTGATGGCCCTGAGGCTGATCAGGCAAAATGCTCATGGGTTGGTCTCCTTTAAGCAGTGTATCCCTCCTGGGCTCCCAGTGTGCTGCCACCACATGCCATTGGGGGGCTGAACAAAACCAGCTATCACTTGTTCATACACCCCTCACCCATCTGCTGATGTCCATTTCTTCTGTTTCTGGGTCAACCCTTGAAAGCAAGCTGCCACAGCCATTCTTATATATGGGCTTGAGTGAATGCAGTCTTTCATTTCAAAGAAAAACTACTTAAATGTGAAATTAATGGATTACAGTATAGTTTATGACTTAGAAATTCTTAAAGTATCTTTGGAAGCAGTGGTTTAAAGCAGAGTTAAGTGGTTGCATTTTGTTTTGTTTTATTATGGTGTACTGTGCTATGCTATATTATGTTACATTATGTTGTATGTTGGTGAGGATTTTGAAACTGTATTTTCTGTGGTTTCTGATTTGATTTTGTATATTCAACCTGAGAAAATATAAGAATATCACATAACTCTGATTAAGTTAATTTGGAGAAAATTTTAAAAGGAAAACACATTCAGTGATGTTGGTACACATCTGTCATTTTAGTTCTCAGAGGTTGAGGCAGGGGGATTGTTGTAAGTTTGAAGTCATCCGGGGCTACAAGGGTAGATCAAGGCCAGCTTCAACTGCATAGCAGAACCCAATCTCAAAAAAAGAATGAAAGAAAAAAAGAAAGATAGAAAAAAAAGAAGAGAAAAATTAAAAAGTTTAAAAATACAAAGTCAAATATCACCGGTGAATTCAGAGTAAAAACATATGTGAGTTTTTCTTGCAAATGTACTTTATTCAGCACACCTAGCATAAGGTTTACCATTATGTAGACATTGATGTGCTTCCAGGTCTGCATTGTTTTAATTTTTTTGAGTATTTTACAGAGATGACTGCAGATATGCTACTGAATATACTTTCTTAGGATTTGGGTAGCTCAGTGTGAAGAGAATGTGATCATTGCTTTTTTTCCTCTCCTAAATTTATATTTATAATCAGAAGTTGATCAAGGGATTGCTATTTTTTTGAAATAATCATAAGGACCATATAAAAGATACTCTTTTTAACTCTATATAAAATAAAATAATTGTAGAATTGTTGGGAGCCTGCCATGTTATTCATGAGAGCATATTCATAAGATGGCACCCACCTGCTGCCTCCGCTGCTCCCCCACCCATCGTGTGCCCAAGATGGCACACACATCCTGCTTCCTGGTTCTTGCTCGGCTTACTGTCCCCACCATATATGGTAATGATTGATTGCTTCCTTGTTGCCGCCCAATCGCCTGTCCCCACGTGTAATCCCATGATTGGATAACATTAGCTATATAAGCCCAAGTATAGGAAGTGCCCGACGCACAACATGGAAGAAGCCGTCGAGGACGGACATGTATTGAGGTTGCTGCTCAGTCAATAAAGGTGCTTGCAGAGGCTGAGTGTTCGTGTGCTCCATTCCACGGGACGGAAGCGGCGCCAGACAGCTGGTGGCCCGGACGGGGACTCAAAACCATTCCCGTGCCTTCTGTGGCTCCTGTGACTGTGTTGAGAGACAGTACGTACCTGCGGGTGAGTGGAGGCTCAACCCGGCCCTTGGTGGATGCACTTTAAGGGACCTACTGGTCGACCCCTTGAGGGGATTGACATTGCCCGAAAAAGAAGGGCAGGCCTCTGTTGGCTATTGCGCCTCGGGGCTCTTTAATTTTGTTAAGATGGGCAATGTTAACTGCGGCCCCCTCGCCTTATCGCTGTGGTTGTTGCTTAAGGCGTGAGGGATTAGGATAGATAAGCAAACGGTGCTGCAGTTATTCGAATGTATTGATGGTTTGGCCCCATGGTTTCTGCCCACTGGATCCCTCACTTTACCCTCCTGGGAGAAGTTAGGATGTGATATTCAGTTTGCTGAGGAACAAGGGATGGGTGTCGACCCTATGGTTCGCCCCATTTGGGAGATGGTTCGGGCATGTCTCAAAACCGAAAGTATGGTAGGCGCAGCCCAGGGACTCAAAGAGGCACGCCATGCTTTCGAGCAGGCGCGCTCGGAGAGCTCCAGGGAGGCCTCAGAGGTTGGCTCACCGAGCCATTCAGATTCAGAGGGGGAAGACCCTAAGGTGGGCCCAAAGGAGGAAACTGACAGTAAGATAGGCCCACATCGCAATACAGGGCAGAAAGTTCATAAACCTGCTGGAGCCTTGTGTGAAGGGATGATGGAGAGCCTAGGGGAGGAGCTCGAGAGGGTGGAGAGTGATCTGCAGGAAATGCGCACCCCCGGCGAAGCGGGGTTAGTCCCGTCGGCCCCTCCCTGGGAACCACCCCAGGGAATGAGTGCCCCTGGTGGTTGGGGGCTGCCTCCTCCCTTCCCTGCCACACTTCCATTCTCCGGGCGCCGCTCATTTCATGGCCGTTTATGGGACGTCTTGCGTAGGGGCCTTGCCTCGTATGACGCTCCCAGCTTCTACCCGGTCCTCCAGGACCAGGCCGGCGCGCCTTATTATCAGCCCCTGGACATGAAAGTGGTTAAGGGGTTAAAAGAGGCAGTCTCCACTTATGGCCCCAACGCCCCCTTTATGCAGGTTCTTTTGGAAAACATAGGAGCCACCCCTCTGACACCCTGGGATTGGGCACAGCTCGCAAGGGCGTGTTTGTCCCCAGGCCAATTTATGGACTGGAAGGCATGGAATGATGAGTATTGCGGAGAGCAGGCTGAGAAAAACGCTAGAGAGCGCAATGTCAGGTGGAACAAAGATATGTTATTAGGCCAGGGAGCCCATACGCAGGATCAAATCCTGCACCCTTAGGCAGTTTATGATCAAATTACCAAGTGCGTTATTGCCGCTTGGAAACAGCTTGCCAAGCCAGGCGAACATACCGCCTGTCTTACTAAAATTGTGCAGGGAACGACAGAGCCTTTTTCTGATTTTGTGGCCAGGATGTTAGATGCCGCCGGCAAGGTCTTTCCAGACCCTAGTGTAGCCCAACCCCTGGTAAAACAGCTAGTCTTTGAACAGTGTACCAAGGATTGCCGTGCAGTGATTACACCGCACAAAAATAAGAGTCTAGAGACTTGGACCAAGTTATGCAGAGAGGTAGGGGGGCCGCTTTCCAATTCAGGCCTTGCAACCCTGGTGAGCGTGTCTATTAATGCCGCCCTCAGCTCTCGCACCCCAGCAACACAACAACAGACACAAAGAAATAAAAAATGTTTTGAGTGCGGCCAGACAGGACATGTTAGGAGATTTTGTCCAAATAAAGAAAGCAAAGGTGACCACCCTCAACCAAGTGGGACACCCAGCGGAGGACAAGCGGGCCTATGTCAACGGTGCCGTAAGGGCCACCATGCCACCAAGGACTGTCGTTCTGTTTTTGATAAGGAGGGCAATTCTCTAACTGGCCGCAAAGAGTCCCAGTCAAAAAACGGCCAGAGGGGGCCCTCCTACAAGGCGGGCCCCCTTTCCCCCAGCAGCCCCTTTCTGGGAATGAACAGCCAGTCAGGGCTACCCCAGGGCCAGCAGGAGTGGACCTCTGTGCCGCCTCCGGATCATACTAACACCTGAAATGGGAGTCCAATTGATAGAAACTTCATTTAAGGGGCCCTTACCACCAAAGACTGTCGGCCTCCTGCTGGGACGCTCCTCGGTTGCCCTCCGTGGTCTTACGGTCGTGCCCGGTGTTATTGACTCTGATTTTCTGGGTACAGTTAAAATCATGGTGCAGTCTTTACAGGGGACACTGATCATCAATAAAGGAGATAAGATAGCTCAGTTACTCATCCTACCTAGCCTGCATGATCAATTTCCTGCCAAGCAGCATTCTAGGGGTGATCAGGGTTTCGGGTCCACGGGTAAAAACTTCGTTGGCCTCCATATGACCTTGCAGGAATGGCCTATGTTGCTCCTCTCGGTCAATGGTAAGAAAATTAAAGGGTTATTAGATACCGGCGCTGACCGTTCCATCATCTCTCATAAAGATTGGCCGGCCTCCTGGCCCCTCAATGTGGCAGAACAGACTCTCCAGGGATTGGGATTTGTTCATTCACCCAGTATAAGTGCGCAGTCCCTTCCCTAGCAGGACAAGGAGGGACATGGTGGGTCTTTTCAACCCTATGTCCTTAACCTCCCAGTAACCCTTTGGGGCAGAGATATTCTAGTCCAAATGGACATCATCCTACATACGGGATGTTCTGAGGTGTCTCAAAACATGATGAAGCGGATGGGCTATACCCCCGGTAAAGGCCTGGGAATCAAATTGCAAGGAAATACTTCTCCTGTGTCCACTACCATTAAACAAGACAGGAAAGGGTTGGGTTTTTCTTAGGGGCCGCTGCAATGCCTCTCACACCCACTCCCATAAAATTGACATGGAAGTCAGATACCCCTGTCTGGGTGACGCAGTGGCCCCTGCCTACAGAGAAAAGAGAGGCAGCATTTCAATTGATACAAGAGCAGTTACGGCTGGGGCACATCCAGCCGTCCACTTCCCCTTGGAATACCCCCATATTTGTTATCAAAAAGAAATCTGGAAAGTGGAGGCTTCTCCATGATTTGCGGGCTGTCAATGCACAGGTCCAGCCACTGGGAGCAGTACAGCGAGGCCTGCCGGCACTCACAGCCCTACCGCGAGGATGGCCTCTCTATGTGATAGACTTGAAGGATTGTTTTTTCTCTATCCCATTACATGAGGCAGATACCCCCCGATTTGCATTCACCTTGCCCACGATCAATCAGGAGGGTCCAGATTTACACTTTGAATGGAAGGCTCTGCCCCAAGGAATGACCAATAGCCCCACTATATGCCAGCTGTATGTCAGCTCGGTCATTCAGCCGGTGCTTCAAGAATTCCCTACCATCAGGTGTTTTCATTACATGGATGACATCCTACTTTCTGGGAAGGACGAGGTCAAACTACGGTCTGCCCTCAGTTCACTGGTTGACACACTCCGCCAGGCTAACCTGCATATGGCCCCAAACAAGATCCAACAGTCTGCCCTAACCTCGTATTTGGGGGCTAACATCTCACCTACTCAGATCTTCCCTCAAAGGCTTACCATCCGCAGGGACACCATAAAGACCCTCAACGATGCTCAGCAATTGCTAGGTGATATTAATTGGATCAGGCCGTACCTGTCTTTGCCCAATCACGAGCTACAGCCCCTATTTGAAATTCTCAAGGGAGACTCAGATCTAACTTCCCCCAGGGTGCTCAACCCGTCAGCAGAAGCTGCCCTGCAGAAGGTTGAACAAGCACTAACCAAGGCAGCACTGCAACGTATTGATCCAGAAAAACCTTTTGTCGCATGCCTCTTGAAAACAGCAAAACAACCTACAGCCGCTTTATGGCAAGATGGACCCCTGCTTTGGGTCCATCCCAGAGTCTCCCCTGCTAAGGTTATACAGTACTACCCAGAAGCGATAGCCTCTCTCGCCCTAAGAGCTGTCCAACAATCCATCCAACATTTTGGCATCCCGCCCGCGGTGTTGCATGTTCCTTATACCGAGGAACAGATACAAACCCTAACAGCTTGTGTAGATGTGTGGGCTATCCTCAGATGCTCCTTTCATGGACCCATCAATAATCAGATGCCCAGAAGCCCGTTCCTACAATTTATGACTGCCCACCCGGTTATTTTCCCTAAAATAACCTCCTCACAGCCCATCGCGAATGCTCCGGTAATATTTACGGGATGGGTCGAAATCGGGGGTGGGGGCATATGTAGTGGCCGGCCACCCCCCGGTCTCTCACCAGTTCACCCCTGATCAGCCTCAGGTAGTGGAACTCCAAATTGTGTTAAAGGTCCTTCAAATGTTTCCAGAGAACATTAACATCATTTCAGACTCCAAGTACGTGGTCAATGCCATGCAGATCTTAGAATCGGCCGGACCTATTAAGCTCTCTTCCACAGTTACTCACTTATTACAAGACATACAGAACCTGCTGCTCTCCCGCAGGGGTAAGGTGTTCACCACTCACATTAGGGCCCATAGTCAACTGCCTGGACCTCTGTCCCAGGGCAACGCTGTCGCTGATGCGGCAACGCGCCCCTTGTGGATCTTCAAATTCCAGGACCCATATTCAGCAGCAAAGGAGTTCCATTCCTTGTATCATGTTAATGTGCGCACCCTAGCAGCATGATTTGGGATACCTAGACAACAGGCACGTGAGATAGTAAGGTTATGCTCAGATTGCACAGTTCTTCTACCTACACCCTCTGTCGGAATCAATCCTAGAGGCTTGAGTCCCAATCACATCTGGCAAATGGATGTTACCCATATTCAAGAATTTGGAACCCTTAAATACATGCATGTGTCTGTTGACACCCTTTCGCAGGTTATCTTTGCCACTGCAGAAACCAGTGAAAGGGTCACACATGTTATTAATCATTGCCTGGCTGCCTGGGCTGCATGGGGATGGCCAAAAATACTAAAGACTGATAATGGCCCAGCATATTCCAGCCAAGCCTTCGCTCAATTC